ATGGGCAACGGAATTATTAACAGGAACGTGTCTTGGCATTAGGGTTTGGGTCGAGTCAAGTATGGGCAACGCAAATGGCAAACACCCAATTGGCAAGATGTACACTAACGGGTTATGGCATGCATATAGTTTACACAAGTAAAAACACAAAATTGGCAATTTTGTGGACAATTGTAACTCAATAATAGAAATATGTTGTATTTCTATATATATACACACTATATAATCAAATGCAAACACATCCAGCCAATCCATTGTGGTCTTGTGGGTCAGTTGTCTACACAGTGATCAGGAAGACCTGGGTTCAATTCCCATGCCTTCCAGTATTTTCTCGCAAACACTAATTTGCAATAAAGCTAAATATGAAAACAAATCATTCATTTGCATGACTATCCATATGGTTCAGTGGATATGTACAATTTAGGCAATGTGAGAGATCGCTGGTTCGAATCCAGTACGGTTAGCACGATTTTTGAATGCTAGTGAAAACAGTGCTCCTATAAGTAGGACTTAAATCCTATCACTTGTGTGAAGACACTCGTGGTACAGTGGACAAGACAGTGCGCTGGGAACTCAAAGATTGCAAGTTCAAATCACGGACAGGACACTCCTACAAGACATGAAAGACGTTAAAAACATAAACAGCAACTTCTGTATATCAAGAACACAAGTCAGAAAAACAGAACACAAGAATACTACCTCACATGGAAGCTAGTCGAAGTCGTCGAAGTACGAACACAGTTGACAGCTGCAGGTCACCTGCAACAACAGACACGAGGAACAATGCTGCTCCCCAAATGGGTCCCTTATTTTGTATTGACCCCCTAAGGATTGCTAATCCCCCTTTCTAACTCTTCCCCCAAAAATAATATATCGCCCCTTTTAGAATGTATTGACCCACAAATCAATGAATATTCATGAGCACAGAAACTGCTACGTCATGAATAAATTAGCATAATTTAAGAAAAAAATTGCATAAAGTGTAGGTACATCTTCTGGAGTCCTGCCAATCAATTTTTTGAACAATTGTAAGCTTGACTTTTACAGGTGTTCTAAAGAAAATTTTGAATCTGAACATTATTTAGAGGGGGAGCCCATATGTTCCACCATCTCTATGATCCCACACCCCTATGTTCCCACACCCCTACATTGTATGTTCCACCATCTCTATGTTCCTACACCCCTATGTTATGACACCCATATGTTCCCACACCCCTATGTTCCTACACCCCTGTTATGACACCCATATGTTCCACCATCTCTACGTTCCCACACCCCTATGTTATGACACCCATATGTTATGACACCCATATATTCCACCATCTCTATGTTCCTACACCCCTATGTTATGACACCCATATGTTCCCACACCCCTGTTCCCACACGCCTATGTTATGACACCCATATGTTCCACCATCTCTATGTTCCCACACCCCTATGTTATGACACCCATATGTTCCACCATCTCTGTTCCCACATCCCTATGTTATGACACCCATATGTTCCACCACACCATCTCTATGTTCCCACACCCCTATGTTATGACAACCATATGTTCCACCATCTCTGTTCCCACACGCCTATGTTATGACACCCATATGTTCCACCATCTCTATGTTCCTACACCCCTATGTTATGACACCCATATGTTCCACCATCTCTATGTTCCTACACCCCTATGTTATGACACCCATATGTTCCACCATCTCTATGTTCCCACACCCCTATGTTATGACACCCATATGTTCCACCATCTCTATGTTCCCACACCCCTATGTTATGACACCCATATGTTTACCATCTCTATGTTCCTATACCCCTATGTTATGACACCCATATGTTCCACCATCTCTATGTTCCTACACCCCTATGTTATGACTCCCATATGTTCCACCATCTCTATGTTCCCACACCCCTATGTTATGACACCCATATGTTCCACCATCTCTATGTTCCTACACCCCTATGTTATGACACCCATATGTTCCACCATCTCTATGTTCCCACACCCCTATGTTATGACACCCATATGTTCTACCATCTATGTTCCTACACCCCTATGTTATGACACCCATATGTTCCACCATCTCTATGTTCCTACACCCCTATGTTATGACACCCATATATTCCATCATCTCTATGTTCCCACACCCCTATGTTATGACACCCATATGTTCCACCATCTCTATGTTCCTACACCCCTATGTTATGACACCCATATGTGCTGACACACTTGTGTCAAACTTGAAGGGGAACTAAATAGAGCCTAATTTGGTGTTTGTATTTATTAAGTTATGTATATTGACAAGACACTTCGCGATGAGCGTCTTTTGTGGTGAGTAATATTTACGAAAATTTGTGTTCACTATTGGCGATCTGCTTAGCTAGTATTGCCTTTAAAATCACTTTCGGCGATCCGTTCCGCTAGGATTGCTCTTGAAATCACTTTTGTCGATCCGATCCGCAAGGATTGCCCTTAAAATCACTTTTGTTTTGTTTTCTTCTTTGATTTTTTTGACTTGACCGATCTCACTCAAACTTTGCAGGTAGGTCACACCTTCACCCTAGTTATTAGGAAAAATATGCAAAAAATGTGTGGCCCACTGTTGCCATAGCAACAGCCCCCCAAAATGATTTTTTTGGATAGCTTCACGCCAAATGTATCTCCTCCTATAAATTTAGGATAAAACACTTCAGACTTATTCTACTCAGCTTGAGTGTGGGCACAAAGGTACTATTTGAATTTTTGATATCTTTTTTCATTACCGAGAAATTTGACCCCAAAGTTGGGGTAACTTTTCACCAGCAAAGGCTTTTAACTCCTCTGTGATTTTT